AATAACAACAGCAAGCCAATCCTCTTAGTTAATTCTCATTCCATCCGTACTCCGCTATCTTCCCCATCGTGAAATTCCTTCGATCGTCGCATTAATAATCGACTCTACGATGAACGAGTTCGAGGGCAAGTCGGAAAAAGTTGGCGATAGCGGAGTAATTAGCTGGAAGGTCTATTAATCGTGTCCATTAAGGCTCGGAGGGAGCCGATTCGAAACGTCCGCGGTATCGATACGCTTCAACGAGAAACCGACGTTGGATGATTTTTGCAAAGAGATGGTCGGATGATATTAGAGAAGCGAACGACTCGTGCAACGTCTTTCTTTTTACAGCTCCTCCTGTTCTCCTCTTTCTCCTTCTTCTGCGACGAAGGGTAGCTGGAGAACAGGATGTACTCTCAATAACGTTAACGGTTCGTTTGCTATTCGTTTAAGCTCGCTCAAGTTCGGCTCCTTTTACTTAATATCGATGAGATATGGATCAGAGTAAGCGTGATCGTTCGATTGTATTCTGTAATTGCTTTCGAATTCCACGGTGCAAAAGTTTGATTCGAGTCGGAGAGAGAAGGGATAAGTGGAAGATTCGTTCAAGAGTTAAATTTTTTAATCGATGAAATTTGATGATATATTGAATTGTTGCTAATTAAATGCAAATATTGATTAAAGAGGAATTTTTTTGGATGTTGTTTTGTGAAGTAAGAATGTAGAAACAATGAGGAGTTAATAAAGTGTGCAGTTTTGTAATCAATCTTTTTTGACAATTTGAAAATTGGCAAGTCAAATTTGAAAAATTGGCCAAAAATTGAGAATAAAGTAAAGATTTATCGCACGATATATATAATTTTTATATATATTCCATACGCTTCGAAAGAAGAGAAAAAAATTAGGTTAATCCTTGAATAAATTTTGTAAAATAAATAAATGAAATAAATTTCTTGAATGAAGCTTATTACAGGAAGAAACGGTGCGTGTTTTGTTATTTTCTGAAGAAAGATCGTAAATTACAAGGTGCCGGTAAAATTTCTCTGTATATAACGATTTATTAATGAATCATCGATGCTTAGCAATGTTTTTACACATTGTGTATCCAATTCTGTAGCGTAGAACGCGATGAATAATGTGTCTCCATTTCCGTGAACCGTGTTAACGATGTAATGATTTCTCCATATATTGAATGATTGCGATTATTTTTACAAGTAAAAGAAAAAAAAAATATCCTTTGGATGACTGTATTAATAATTCTTTGGAACGTTATTAATCTTATTTGAATTGCGATTCTCTTTTGAAATATTGGAATGATATGTTGGAATGACGATGGAAGATAAGGAAAATGAAAAAAAAAAAAAA